TGCGGGTAGAGCGGGCCCGGGGTACAAGACCCGTCCCGCGGGGCTCTGCCGTACCGCTAGCGGTAACGGGACCCGGACCGGGAGCTGGCGTTTGGCCGGTGCACACGGTGAGGGAACCGCCGCCGGCAGAAAGCGTTCCCGTGTGTGCTGACAGTGTGTCTGCTTTGCAGGAAACATGATTTCTGAGAGCAGCTCCTTCGCCAAGGGCGTGGTGCTCGGGGGAGCCTGCTGCGTGCTGGTGACACTGCTCGGGCACATCAGGCTGGGTCTCGGGATTAAGGCACATCGCCACCAGCACCATCACATCCAGGCTCCCAACAAAGAGGATGTCCTAAACCTCTCGGAAGGTGAACGCATGGAGCTTAGTAAAAGTATCCGTGTTTATTGCATCATCCTGGTGAAACCGAAAGATCTGGGGCACTGGGCAGCAGTGAAGGAGACGTGGAGCAAGCACTGTGACAAAGTGGAATTCTACAGCTCTGAAAAGGTCAAAGTGTTTAATTCTGTAGCCCTGAACACAAATGATATGTGGGTGATGATGAGAAAAGCTTACAAGATAACATATGAACGCTATAAAGACGAATTCAACTGGTTTTTCCTTGCATATCCAACAACATTTGCTATAATTGAAAATCTCAAGTATTTTTTACTGAAAAAAGACCCTTCACAGCCTTTTTACATAGGCCATACTGTGAAATCTGGGGACCTTGAGTATGTCGATGGTGAGGGAGGAATAGTCTTAAGCATTGAATCACTAAGACGACTCTCCCGTGTTCTCGAAGACTCTGACAAGTGTCCGGAGCAGGGAGGTATGATTTGGAAGCTTGCTGAGGACAAACAGCTGGCCATCTGCCTGAAGTACACTGGAGTCTTTGCCGAAAACGCCGAAGATTCAGAAGGAAAAGACGTCTTTAACACTAAATCAGTGGGTGCTCTCATTAAGGAAGCCATGTCTAGTCACCCTCAGCAGGTGGTGGATGGCTGCTGCTCCGACATGGCCATCACGTTCAGCGGGCTGGCCCCCAACCACATGCACGTGATGATGTACGGCGTTTACAGGCTGCGACCCTACGGCCACACCTACAACGACGCACTCGTCTTCCTCCCACCCGCGGGCTCAGACAACGACTGACACCTTCAGAGGAGACCTGGAACCAGAGTCGGCTCTTTCCATGATGTGCATTTGCACTGACTGATCTGATTTTTGTATCTGGTGGTACTGCTGTACAATTTTTTTCCTTTTTTTCATTTTTGCACATTGAGATTGGGTGAAGCTCTTAATTTTAAAAGTGGAAGGAGGACTTTTTTCCTAAATCTTTTATACAGAAGTGCTTCTGGAATGAAATTATAAAAAAGTTGTTAATGTTTATGATAAAAAGGAAACTAAGTTTATATGGGGGGGTTTGTACATGTAAATATTTATTAATGAAAGCTCAAATGAACTTTAGTCTACTGTTACAAATATATTTTTGCAAGATTTTGATTCTTTCAATTCTTCCAGGCATATCCAGAATGTCTTTATATCTTTCTAAGCTGCAACAATAAAACTGACTCCAGATTCAGTCTCAAAGACTAACTTCAAGCTGTTTCCTCTACACTAAACTACACAGTAGCTTGAGCTGTGCTGTTTATGCAGCACCTGTGGCTTTATGTGCAGCCTCCTAACCCAGTAAGGAATTAGCAGAAAGCAAGCCGATTTAGAAATCTGTTAGGAACTGCAGCACAGTACTATTAGGTGACCTTTGGACTGGTGTTTTTATGCAGACAAAAGGAGGAGATAACTATATTTGAATAAGTATTAACATGGTCAAGTACCCTGTTAGCACAAGAGTAATTGCTCATTTCAAATTTCACCTCCTATACAAGTGTATTAGAACAAAGGTTCTGTGTTATTTTCACTTATGTTCATGGTGCTAATGGTATTTACAAGGAAGAAGTTGGTTAACTGTCAATACAAATGTAGTGTGGATATAAAGGTATTTTTAACACCAAGATGCAGAAAGAGTAAGACAGGGTTGCACTCCCACCCTTTTTTTGAAGATTAATCAAAACAGGTTATGTGCACAACAAAGCAACATGCAGCAGTGGGTGGTTGTGGGGTTTGGATTTGTTTTTTCCACACTTGAGTGCACTTGAAATGAGTTTTATACAAGTTACCAGGTCACACTGCCTTCCAGTCACAGCAAGTGGGAATAAACAGCACTTCCCTCTTTACCCCATTTAGAATTCCCTGACATGACCTGGATGTTTCAAGACTTAAGGAAGGTACGTCCAGGACTAGCACAGGCTTTGTTGGTACTACAGCACCATAAAAGACCTGAGAACATAGTATGTTATCTCACCTTTCTTTAACAGGCCATTTGCAATACCTCATCCTATCCTGAGCTGCGAGGGCACAGAGGGGGAAGTGAAACAGCTGCTTCACAAATGACAATATCCACATCTTTTTTGTTTTAAACATCAGGTCCTTCATTTTTGGCAACTGCTCAGAGCCCCAGGCAAGCTACCCCAGCTCAGCTGTTTCAGAAGGTGCACCTTGTCTCACCTTTTGCACATTCTCCTCCTCTATGTCAGTCAGAGCTCAGCAGCAAGACAAACATGTACACAGCTGCTGCCAAAACCTAGATAAAACATTAGTACTTTTGACAATGTTTTGCTAAGTTGGTATATGAATTAAATTAAACATGATTTAACTTGTATCTGCTTACAGAATCATTTTTAAAAGGCAGATCCACAGTTGGGAATACTCTGACAAAGCCAAAGAAAGTAAAATTTTGGTTTCCTTGGTGTTTCTGGTATTAAAGACAGTTCTCCTCTCACTGCAACAACACTAGTCATGGGGCAAGTCAAGGGAAAAGAATGGGAGTTGATTCAAACCAGAATAAACCTTATTTATCACAGCTTTGAGAGGTACTGTAACACAACAGGGAGAAACAGGATGGAAGGGAAAAAAGCAAGCCTCAGAACTCAAGACTAGCTCATCTGATGCAAAAAAGAAAGGCTAAAGCACAAACCATTCCCCCTGGCACTAACAAGGAATTAGTACATTTATAGCAGTCTAAGATGCATGAAAATAGCCATCAGCATTCTGAAAGGAAAGTCTGCAACTTTTTTCTGCAATGCTGCTGTAATAATCACCTTAATTTTTATCTGCCTACATTAATAAATAGTTTCAGATTTACCCTGTCATTTTTCAAAAGTACAAGCACGTAAATAATTTTACAGGAGAAATTTAGAATTAGCATATACTAGGTAACACAGTCCATCTCCCATGTCTTAATTTGACTTCAGAATTCGGGGGAGAACACCTCTGCCACTACCTTCTGTAAAGGCCCCAGAGTGGGGAAATCAAACATGCAGAACAGCACCAAGACAAGGCACTTGCACACACAATTATGTTCTGCCATTATGTGTTAGAATAGAGACTTGAAATATTAATAAATGCTTCCAGAGACAGAGTTATGAGTGACAGACCTTAAAGTTTCCTTAGTTTATTAAGTTATTCCATGGCACAGGCTGTTTTCCATAGGTAAGCAGTTGCTGAACAGAGAGTTGTGATTACCCAGACAAATACTCAGTGCTCTTTAACCTGTTCTGTAGATGTACATACATGTGGCAGTGTGCACAAGCCGAGATCTCTTGAAGTTCCACCTGAAGAAGTTGCTTCTGGCTACACTGATAACCGTGTTTTGCTATCATGCCTTTGTTAAACAGTGATTTTGTTTCTGCTCCTAAAATAAGGCGGCAAACAGGGAGTAGAGCATCAGGAACCAAGTTGGCACATGCTCCATTTGGAGTATGCTCACCATTACTATAAACTCCACTATAAGGAGAGTGATATCAGTTTTGGCAGGTAGAAATTTGAACATGTATATATATATTCTTCAGATATGAACTAGCATAAAAAGTTCTAGTCCACATACTGGTTTAAAGTTCATAAATCCTATACAGATAAACACGTATTAAAAAAGAGAAAATCCTGAAGTAAAATACTGAAGTTAAAGCTGTTAATAAATTAGTTAAAAAAATAAATGTCAAAAAAACGATTTCTCCACATTCAAGAAACAGGCAGACTAACAAGATGTTAATCAGAAGAAAAAAAAAATCTGAAATGTTCCAGAGGTTTTATAAACCATATTAACTACATCTGACTTACACTTTATATTACTCTTTTCCAAAGAGCACAAAAATGTAAACATTTATTGTCTTTTTCTTCCTTTCTGTTTGAAATAGTCTACTCACAGTCCATGCAGGATCTTTTCATCAGGTACCTTCAGTCACTGAAGACACGGGTTTAAGACAAAACAAAAGAACTGTAACAAAAAGAAATCTAGAAAACTATTGTAGCCTAACAGTACTTTCGCATTCAGTTGATTTATTTAGCGTAGCCACAGAACAAAATAATTTGTACATTCAGTCACATTAAAAACAAGGAATTACAAAGCAGTCCACATTTAATCTAAGTGCATTCCTTTGGAGTAACACAGTTCCTTTTGTTTCACTTGTAGGTCTTCATATGCCAAAGGCCATCATTTAAGTAGTGGATATTTTCGATACCAATCCCTTTGTTGACCTTCTCACTGTAGAAGAAGGAAAAAGGGACAGAAGCGTTAGGCAGGTTAAATATTAGAGCAGTGCAAGATACACAAAGTAGAAAACACAACACTTATCAACCGGAAGGGGAGAAGCTATCACCCACAGCCACAATCCTCAACAGCAGGTGCCCAAGAAACAATATTTGTTATTGCATGTACGCACATTGCCAGGGATAACAGTATTTGCCTTCCACGTTTTGTCAACAACCTTCCACAGCGTTTTTAACTGTTCTTTGTGGGAGGCAGCTCTTCAGACAACACTTCTGCTACTTTTCTTAATTTAGCATTTCTCTATCAAAGTAGCACAGCAGTTGTAAGTGACTCTGCCCCTTCTAGCACAGGAGGTGGTGTAACACGGCTGGAATGTGGAATTTGCCAGGTTCTGCTTCCAAGTGTGGCACTGATCCAATCCAACATGGCTGAGCTGCTTCACTGCTAGTGGCAAGACATCTACCCAACTCAATAAGGAATTATACATGTGAAATTTATGTGCCCAGGACTGGCAGCATGTTGCAGACATACTATCCTTCTGTATCTGTTGAGTCATGTAATCTTTTAGAAGTGGTTGTTTTGTGCGTCTTCATGGGATTTGTGTTCATCATGGGATATTATTCCATGGAAAAATCTAGTTTTGTCACAATAAACAAGCAAATCTCATCATTCTAGAGTAAGAACAAGTTCCATTCCCCTGGAGAATATAATTTACTCTATCTATACTAAGTGTTCCATTACTTATACAGCTTGTCCAAAAAGTAATCAGGAAGGAAAATACTGCTATGTTAATTGCATTAACACTTCATGTATCACAATCACACCGAGTGACTGAAATCATACTGTTTCACAATTTTCTGTTTTAAACACTATTACACAAAAAAGCACGCTAAGGGGCTGCCTAGACCAGTCTCATTTCATTTCCCTCTGCAGTTCATGTCGCTTCTCACAGGAACAGGGTATTCAGCTGCCAGGCTGCTGAACGTGAAGTTAGGATGAGGAATAGAGGCAATATTGGTTTGCAGGGATCACAGCAGATCACTACAGACGTAGGACTGGGACAGAAGTATTGTTTCTTTCCACCTACTCTTCAAGTCTTTTGAAGGCACTACAAAGAATCCTGAGGAAGAGAATTCCTCAACAGCTGTATCAGGTGCAAATCCAGGTTGCTGCAGTCCCACTCTTACCTCTGTCTTCCGAAACAGTCCCACCTCTCTCCTTTGTCCCACCGTTACAACTTAGGGCCACAAAGTGACCCAGTACAGAAGATGATCTGCTGAGAATTATCCCCACAAGAAAGTGACTTCTTTTCATCAAAATCAGCTTCCCACCCCACACAAGTCCTAGATGGGGCTGGAACCAATGCAGCCCAAACCTGCTGGGTGCATCTCACATCCTGCTGCAAGATATTGCAGAACTTAAAATGACAAAGTGCTTTAGCTACGTAGAATTTAACACTTGCTGAATGCTAAGAACAACTAACACCCATTTCCATTTTCTGTCCCTTCTCCTTCTCAAATAGTTTCCAGCTGATGTTTATTGCCTGAAAAGACCTCCACATTTCACAAGA